GCGACTCGACGGAAAGGACGGTGTCCAAAATTACACTCACCTCGGGATGGTCCGTACACAGTCCTAAACAGGCTGAATGACGTTGTGGTTCGGATCCGTAAGTCATCGAACTCTAAACCTAAAGTCGTTCATTACGACAAGTTAGCTCATTACTATGGCCAGAGTACGTAGTTTAAATAATTGTAAATAGTGAAAAACCATGGTCCTTTTTTATTTCTAAATGTGTATTTGATTTGACTTGTATTTAGTATTTGATTTGTACTTAGTATTTGATAGAATTTATTTTGTTTAAATTATTCCATTTATTGTTCATATTGTTTGTTATTATAATGTAACGTTTATTATTCCATTTATGCCTTAGTTGCAAGCTTGGCTTTCTGTCCAGGGATTGTACTGCCTGGGACGTGCAGTCCTTCAGAAGCAGGCAAAGTTACGGATTTGGTATTTAAATAGCTAATGTTAGTAGAATTATAAATTAAATTGTTTTATTCTCCGTGCAGTGCAGCGCGTGACGAATATTAAGAGAAAGCTAAGCCGGAAAATAAAAAATACAAGAGCACATGCATTTAACATTTAATAAATAAATATCTCTTTTTGATTTCGAGAAATTGCTAGAACAACCTCGTTCGACCGATTTAAAAAGCTATAAAATCTAGAGAAAGAACACCTCAGCTCAGTTTTGTTTAGAAATCTGCTGTGGTCTACAGTAGCAAATTCGCTGTGAAATTGGATTAGCTTTCTCTATTTTGAATTAGTTCTGTTGAACGTTTTTAATAGTTTAAAAGATAACTACTGTGAGGAATTGTTATATGGTATAATATAATATATGTAGAAATTTAAGCATTTTTTAAAATTTGTTGGATAATAATAAATTTTATTCATTTTTCATCGGACTTGTGCATTCAATTCATAACGAACCCGTACGCACGCAACACTATTTTATGAAAGTTAATTAATACATTTAGTACTAGTACACGCTGCTTAGCCGAATCCAGATGGCCAAATGCGAGTTTCGGTCTATGTACAATAGGTAGCGCTTTATTCTAACTTAACATGCCGCCACATTTCAGTACTTAAATTATAAATATACAATTTAACAGTGTCTAGAACAACTAATTCTACAGTATAAATATGAAAGCTAATAGGTAATTTTTCCTCATAAATAAAACCTAAAATAATATAAACATTATAATGGACATAAACTAATTCACTATGCTACAATCTAACTTAAACAACAGCAAAAAATTTCCATTTTAATAAGAAGGTAATAGTGCAAAGCTAAGCATTGTTATCTTGGATAGGTAATAAACAAATTTTATTAATAAATCGAATATATACACCGTTTGATATTTTCACATTAACAACTCTGGTTTTATTATCTTTATCAGGTACAATTCTAAATAAAAGACCATTCAAATGGGGGAAGATTATCTTCCTTTAATACAATTAACATACCTGCCTTTATATTTGCTTTATTAATAAAACATATCATGACCAGTTTTCCCACAGTTATGACAGATGCAGTTCTATTTCCTACAAAATTTAACAGAATGTCCTTTTCTTTTACAATAAGTACAAAACAATTCTTTACGAGCACTAATAAAAACAGAGTTGTCCGTATTTGGTTTAGAATACTCATTTTCACTTTTATAATCAAACATAAGAGATTCACAATCAATAAGTCTGCTTGTAACAAAATCCAAACTCAAATTATCACTTGGTTGATTTTCTAGTGATGCCTTAACATTTTCATATTCCTTTGGCAATGACATTAAAATGTAAATAATAACATCAAAGTCACTTACTTCAGATCCTGAGACGCGTAGACTACTCACCAAGTTCATTATGCTGTCGATATGTTGTTTCATTGAGACATCCTTGGATTTTCTTATGGTAGCTAGACGTTCACTGGTTACAATTTGACTCACTGCTCCTTTAGCGCTATACGTAGCTTGTAGTTTCTTCCATATTTTACATGCCGTGTCTTCACGTTGAAGAGAAGCAATATCATTAATCACTTAGAAGCGCAAGTATTAAGGGATAAGCCTTTTTCGATTTCAAAACATCTGCAACTCTATCCGCAATTGCTTCTGTTTCCAAAAATGTATCCAATTCCCTTGCAGTAAATACTGCTTGAACTCTTCGACACCAAACAGTAAACTTATTAACACCATCAAATGGCGCAACACCATAAACTCCCCTTTCACTTTCGGTTGAAAAAGCCCTCATTCACGAAACACCAAAACAAAATCACGCGAACGATAAATTATTACACTGGAAATAGAAGGTTCAATTAGGGAACTATCAGTGTATTCTAATTTTGACGAACCACGCTCTGCTGTTAAACATAGAAAATGCCGTGGTTCGCAAAACAAATATTTATTACTGAGATACGCAGAGTTATATGCAAAGAAATACAAGCAAACAGAGATAAGTACAAGCAAAGAAAACGTTTACAGAGGTCATATATATAACTTTACAACAGATCATGGTTTAAAAAATCATAAACAAGACACAATAAATAACCAATGAAAAGCAACAAAGAATGGGATTAAGTTTCAGAATAATTCGGACCTGACTGAAAGCTATACTTCCTTTTAACCAGTAAGAATGCGATTAGAAATATCTCAAAAGAGGCCAATTAAACTTTTCAAAATTTTTGTTGTACATATATGCCTGACATAATTCGATAAAGATAATGAAACCAAATATCTTCGCTTTTGCATCGACAAGAGTTTTATCCTTGAAGTAGTTTATTTAACATATTGGTAAAAGTATAGTTTAGGGTACCCCTTGGCGAAACTTGACGGTACATGGATACCGATTTTGTGCAATTCTTTGACTCGTTATTTGGGCTTGCGAAGCGGCGATTTTTGCGCCAAAAATCGCCGCTACACAAAGCCAAAATAACAAGACAAACAATTGCACAAACTCGGTATCCATGTACACATCGACTTACTTTCACTTAAAAAAAAAAAAAAAAAAAAAAACCGAATTGCACAAAAATGGCATTGCGCAGTCCTTTGACTTTATCCATGTACACGTCGACCTATTTTCACTTTAAAAAAATCACCGAATTGCACAAAAATGGCATTGCGCACTCTTTTAACTTTATCCATGTACACGTCGACCTATTTTCACTTCACAAAAATTCCAGAATTGCACAAACTTGCATTGCGCACTCCCTTTACTTTGTCCATGTACACATCGATATATTTTCACTTAACAAGTCAAAGGAGCACCAAATTCTACAATATAGGCAAACAAAAAATACATAATCTCAATAAAAATACATTTTAAACAAAACAATAAAATAACATAAAAAAGGAAAAACATGTTATACATTTAAGCACTACCAAAAGCAAATATTCACTTATCATGATTTTCGAGTTCGCTTCGTACACCGAGAGCCACGTAAAAATCAAAATATCAATTATATTCAAATGACTTTTTCCTAACCAGGTACTCTTTCTGATCGAACGCTTCACAGAGTGACCATCTGAACCTTTCTTCCTACAAACCCATTCAAATCCATCTAAACGGTTTTAACACACACCACAAAAACGCTTACAAACATCTCATGATTCAAAATTTCCCAGAATCATGCACCCGATTACGTCAAAATAGGGTTTCCATAACATTCAACTACTCAGGCTACCATAAATGAAACAACAACTTGGCGATAAATCAAACAACAACTTCGCCATAATACAAGGGGTACCTTAAAGTCTACTCTACCCAACGTATTTAATTTTTCGAAGATATCGGCTAAATAATTCACAAATGAATTTCTTACCATCAACTGTTAACAGATTTTTCATTTCAGGTTTGCCACTTAAACACACCGCTAAATACAAACAAAGCTGAAAGCAGTTGCTTTTGCCATTTAAGGGAAGAATATTATACCTGTTGCCGTTCCTACAGTAAAAAATAAAATGAATTCGTTGGCTTGCACGTGCGAAAAACGTCTGGAAAGCGTAATGTGTCAACTATTTGAATGCCCATATCTACAGTAAAAATTCTGGTGTTTTTCCGTTTCGCCGGCGCAAATCTCGCCAAGCAGACTTTATTAGCGACAGCACACAGTATACACATAAAAAAATGTTAGTTCTATGAATGTTTTATTTTGAAGGCATAAACATTTTAATACCATTTAAAATTTTGTAAAAAGACAATAAATAAAGACAAGAAACTTGTAAAAAGACAATTTAACAATTTACTAAGCTTTCATGGTACAACGTCCTGATTCACTGGGGCATCACGTGACCCCAAGTGATCTCATCTCGCGTAACTACGCTACAAAAATCTAATTCTCTCAGTAATTGTCTACATTAATTTCAAGTCAAATCTTAATATAGATCCTAATTGACTTAATTCATAGTCATCCTAATTGACTTAATTACTGCGAATGGCCTTAAGGCATAAAATTGAATTATCTGGCAAAATTTCTATGTAATTGTATGCTAGTACTGAAAAAACAATCAATCTGATAAGAAATGGCTGCGACTAGTTTTGAAAAATGAAGCATAAAAGATTACCAGCGAGAATATTCCGTTTGGCATCGGTTGCAGCATTTTTGGCGACTTTATCGCCTGCGTCGGCAAAATGGAAAAGTACCAAAATTCTTTATAAAATATTAAAAATGCATTCCAAATTAAAAACTTTGTTGCGTATACATCACTTGCATCATTCTTATTTTTGGAAATAAAAAATTAAATTTCGAAAAATTTCGACTTCTTGAAGAAATTTTGGAAATTTGAACGTCCCTTGTCCCCTTAAACTCTGGATGAGTCCATTTTCAAATTCCCCCCCTCTTAAAAATCGAATTGCCCCTTATGGGGCGTGGGTCCCACGTTGGGGAACATTGATCTAAAACAAGGGAATTAGAGTTCCCATTTAGATTAAATAAATCACTAGCCTTAAGTTTGAATTCCTTGATGTATTTCACATCAGCCACATCAAATGAAATTACCTCACAAGGCTTAATCAAGAACCTTTCCTTAGTCGGGAATATTGGTCCATACCACCATTAAATCATTATGAAGAAAATCCTTAGGTCCAGCTCCACGTGATATCAAATCAGTTAGCTTATTATGAGTGCTAACATCGTACCACTTATTAACAGCAGTCATTCTGCGAATAAAAGACACTTTATTAGCAACAAATGTCTTTAGTTGATGAGATTTTTTCTTAATCCATGCTAACACTTTTGAAGAATCAGTGAAATAATACACCTTATCTATAGGTTGTTGAATGGTTTCTGATATGCTTTTCATTAGTCTTACCAACAGAACTGCACCGCAAAGTTTCAAACGAGGAATGGTAATTGACTTCAAAGGTGACACAACGAGGCTTGCTACCCAGAAGTCTTGATGAACATTCATTCGAAGATGACATATATTTCTCATAAATTGCAGCACCACAGGCGTTCTGACTAGCATCGCAGAATCCTATTATTCTATTTGCCGTAATCCATTGGTTAGAAAAAATCTGGGGATGCAATAATCGTTGACTATTTATAGACTATTCAGAAATGTCTTCCATTCTTCATAGTCATTTTTAAGAAGAGGTGTATTCCAATTTATTTTTAAAAGCCAAAGTTTTTGTAGAAATATTTTAGCCTTTGTCGTAACAGGTCCAATTAAACCAAATCAAAGGGGCCACCTGTCCCTGATCAACTGTATAAGGCGACATGTTCTGTAAGTCTCGCTATCAGATCGAGTCCCGGGGAGGGCATTGCTCATTTTTCATCTCTCCTGCTTTGAATTAACCTAATGGCTCTACAACTGTTTCTTCAATGTCAAGTATCTTTAAATCGTAAGAAAAACAGTCTGTAACCGTACTCCATGACATTCCCAAGGTCTTTGTAACCGGAGGCATATCAGTAACTTTAAAAGAATAATCCTGAGTTGCACGTTCTCTGTTCTTCAATAGTTCTGTATTATTTGAACACCATATGTGTAGCTGCATTCCACCACGTTCTAGAAGACATGTTAACTGTGTTTGCAACTCCTTGGCTTCTTGCAAAGTATTAACTCCAGTGATAATGTCATTTACGTAACATTCCTTCAGTATGGCTCTTAAAGCATAAGGAAAATCAGTCGCTTCATCCGTTGCTAACTGCTTCAGGACCCTCGTTGCAAGGAATGGTGCACTTGCTGTTGCGTATATTACAGTCCTTAGACGATAAATCTGCTCAGGGCTACCAACTGATTCTTTCCATAAGATCCAACTGCATGTTTCCTTCAGATGCTTCAATTATTATTTGTCTATACGTATTCTGAACATCCGCTTTTAGTGCATTATTGCACTTTCAAAATCTTCTTGAGGTAGTCGCCTTTTCATTAATATTTAATTAAATGGTTTTCCATTTCTACTAGCCCCTGATGAAGCTTGGTAGAGGCTTTCTTTGGGTGATAAACTCCATGATGACTGAAATAATTGCAAGTCGATGTTTCAATTTCTTGAAATTTTTTCATGGCATTTAAATGCTTATATTCCTTGATAAAATTATTATATACTGTTTTCATATTCGAATCGCTTTCTAGTCGATTCCACACTTGATGCGATCTTTTCTCAGCGTTTTCGATTCTTCTAATTCTACATCTTTTCTAATGGGTAATTGAACTATGTGTTTTCCATCATTTTACCTACAGTGAATACGTTTGAAATGTTCTTCCCAGTACTTTTCTTCTTCAGTCAAAACATCCTTGATATTTTCAAGGTATTCAACTTCCCTAAATCTTTGCAAAATTCTGTCGAGCTCTTCTTCACTCTTCAGAACTAAGTTACCACAATAATTTACTTCTGAGTTACTCTTTCATGTGCCAGACGCAATGTATCCAAAAACTGTTTCTTGGAATATCATCGATTGATTTTCTAATTGAAATTTTCCTAGTTTTAAATTCTCAAAGAACATTTCGGCTACTAGTAACATGTCTATTTTGTGAGGAGTTCAAAGTTGCGGATACGCTAATTGAATATCGTGCGAATATTTAATGATTACACATCTAAACTCGTTGATAGAGTTACATTCGTTTTTTTAGCAATAACCAAACAGTTAACTGATCTTACATATGATAAAGCCTTATTTGAAATCTGTACATCTAGTTAATAATTAATACTGATAACGTTCTCATTTATTTCAGATACAGATGCATAAATTCTTTCTTTCTTTCTTTATATTTAAGAAATTGGCAACTCCTTCAAACAGAAAACAGCTCATGCTGCCGTTATCAAAGATAGCGCCAAGTAGAATTCTTTTCTCTACTGAATTACAAACATATACTATTGCAGTGGCTAATAACTCACTTTTTAAAGAAAACTTGATTGATTTTACGAGAGCCATCTGCATTCTTGTTTGTAATCTCGTCACTCTATATTTTCATTTTTGTTTTGTGTAACTGTTGATGATGGCGTCATTTCTGAGCAGGCGATGGACTAATGAATGATGTTTGTATGGCATTCGGGACATCTGAACTTAGAATTACATTTTGCGATTAAATGTTCCTTACTGAGACAGTTTAAACACAATTTACTATTTTTAACTATTTCATATTTTTGTTTTGGATTTAATGTTAAAATGAGTCACATTTATATAGTAGATGATTATTATTTTTACATATCACAGAAGTCGGAGCTCTATCCGTTTTAACCATCACAGCCCTTGATTTTGAATTTTTTTTCTAACGGATATTTATTAGTATTACGGTTAATGTTAACATCTTTTCTCTAAAAACGAAATTAATTCATCAAACGTAGGAACTTCCGTAGCATTAATGCTTAATCCAAATTGTTTGCGCGTTTCATGATCTAGTTTCTGAAGTATACGATATTTAATAACAGAATGTCCGATATATTATTTTTCTCATATTTTAAAACATTCAAAGCCCTAACGTTTTTACTAACATTATCTGTTACATAGCTTATCCCCTTAGACGATTCAAATCTTAAATTACGTAAATCCATTATTGACTTTATCCATTCAGTACATTTATTGGAAAATTTAGGAATTGGTAATTCTGCCAAACGCATTTGTACTTTAGAATCAAATTTAATTCAATCATTTTCATATTCAGAATGTGCAATAGATGATAGAATTTCTATAATTCTTACCTCTAGTACTTCCGTTCTTTCTTCCATTTCGGCGATTTCTTCATCGATGGCTCTGACATCTTTTTCATCAACACTTTTCAAATATCCTATTTCTTAAATTTCTGACATCCATTTGAATACTTTGAAGGGATTTATACTTTATTTGAATTTCGTTTTTATTCGCACTGCCATGACATTCCTTCACTATGTTTTTATACCTAGTTAGTTTCACTTTTAACGATGTTTTATTTCGATCCAGTTGTTCTCCATCTTGTTCTCCTCTCCGGCTCGATGGACCAATGGACTATGATTCTATGATTCTAAACTAATGAGCAGACTCTACAAATAGTGAACTATTTTATAGACGGTAATTACTAAATTCAGTACTAGCACGTGCTCTGGTATGTTGCTTAGCCGAATCCAGATGGCCAAGTGAGAGCTTCTCTCTATATATAATAGGTGGGGCTGTAGTTTAACTTAACAGATATAATTTTAAAAATGCTTTCAGGTTCCCTATTAATCGAAGCGCATTAACCGGGCTTTATTTTAAAAAAAATATTTCCTGTGGAACAATTGAAAAATTACAATCATCAGTCATCTAAAAAAGCTGTCTACGAAAAATACAAAAGGAAAAGTAAAAGGGGTAGGTTAACACCAGTGATATTACAGCACTTGGGAGTTATGCACAGAAGAGTATAATTCAGTTGTACGTGATCCCGAATACATAAATAATATTCAAATCTTCATTAAAGCAAATGACTCACTCATTAAAAGAATTCGACGCCTTCAAGCTTTTATTTCGAAATGCAAAAGTAATGTAAACCAAAGCAAATGCACAAGGAAGTGAGAAAGACAAATACTGCCAGAGAAATGCTTAACCACACGAGAAACTCATCTGCTTGGAAATATAGGTAAATTGCTAATATTTATTTATATTATTAATAACAAATTATGATAATTTTTTTTGTTTTTTGTAACTGAAATTAGATTAACCTTGTTTTTGAGTCGATTCTGGACGTTGTCTTTGTTATTATCCTAGTTTAATAAGAGTTTAACTATGGTATTGATGAAATTGAATTCTGTTCAGAATATTAGTTTTTCTTTTATCCTCGATATGCCTTACTATCATAAATCTACTAAATTTCCATTATTTCTTTTAATTTATATGACATATTTATTTTAATTAATTAATTTTATTTATTTATTATTGCTTATTTTATTTAATTTATAATGCCGCCCAGGCGGTATAGTGGTTAGTGAAGCCTGACTGCGATACCGAAGGGCTTGGGTTTTAATCCCGAAGAAGGCATGGTTGTAAGTGTCCGTCCCTTCATAGAAGACAATGGTGGCTCACCTATTAGGTGCCTCCATAATAAAGAGACCACCACATCTGGCCTTAGTATAGATTAATATTACAACTGTAACTGTTCACGATCTGCCATTGGGGGGAAAATATATAATTGTTCCCCTTTTTCTCTTAACTAATTCTAATCCTGTACTGTCGATGTGAAATATTTTCATAGAATGCCCATGTATCAAAAGTCTTCAAGTGAAGCATTTTAATAATTTTAAGTCTTGACCATTTAATTAGAAAAGAAGTTAATTTTAATCTGTTTCAGTATTAAAGAAAGACTGGTTTTAATAGCTTAATCTGAACTGATTTTAAATTAAATACTCTTATATATTTTATACATTGAAATTTTACTTAATTTTGTGTTTAAATCCATCCTGTGAATTTTATGCATCTTTTCATTGGAAGAGAAACACGCCAATATAAAACAACAACCATATTTTAGCGCAGGACACGAGGTAGCATTATTTTGTTCCGTTGTATATTTTATCATAACATTAATAAATTATCATCATCATACATTTTTAATTGCACTTAAACAAGATAGGATATATTCTCGATACCTTTTGGTGCAATGTTAATATTTCTTGTTTTGTTCAAGGAAATCCCCCAGCCATTCCCTTTTGTCTTAACATTTTATTGAATTTAATTTGGTAATTATTAATTGTTAATTATTTTATTTATGTTCACGTTTTTTGACAGCTTTTTATAAAACCTTGAACATTTCTAATTGATTTTTAGAAGCAAAATATAGTACTTTATTCCACTCATTTCAACTGAAATCGTACCTACGACTCAGTATTTTGAAAAAAGGTTCATGAATATGACAGCGTTCATTTAACAGCAAATGAAGCTTTCGTGATCAGCGTCACCAAAGTGAAAAGAAGCGAAACCTAAATTCCGTATCGACGCGGTAGTGACCAGTTGCCTGGTTAAAGGCCAAACATCCTCTGTCCGCAGGCAACTTGAATGGGCGGCTTTCGGCTGTTCCCTCTCTTTACTGAATGTGCTGCCGTTCCAAAAACCGTTGCTCGTGTTCCAGTCATTAATTACTGCTTTTAAATTTGTGTAATCTAGTAGCATTTCATGATAAAGGAGAAACATTAAGTAAGACTTTTGATTTGATATTGCTTGCTTTATTTAAAAGTTCATAAGTTTTAATGCTTGGATTTTTTTATATGGCTTTTATGATACTGCTGTGGAAATGAATAATCTCTCATTTAAATTGCCTTTAAAATTTACGGATGTATGAAGTTGGCAATAACTGAATTTAATTATTAATTTAAGTAAAAAACTGTATATATGATTTAAAGTTCTTGAACTTTAGGATTAATTTTCTGTGCAATATTATTTTAATAATGAGAGATTAAGGTAAAACGGTACTTTTGTAGCTTGCTTTTAATATCTAATTTCTATTATTCTATAATGCGTTTACATGTTTTATATGTGTTATATATGTGTTTTACACGTGTTTTGTATGTGTCTTTATATGTACAAGTAAAAGTGTATGGGTTTGTATATGCTGTAATTTATGTTTAACAAACCAAGATTTAACAAATCATTCACCTATCGATCAAAACTAATATATTCTTAAGATGCCCCTGTATGGCCATGTACAATTACGTAAAATTCTTCAATAAACTCCCGAGGTGGCCTCATGAGGCTCCAGGGAGTTGCTACCGCTAGATAGGGAAGGGCGTGGGACATATGCCTGTTTACCTCTGTTAAACACCAGACGTCCCCTTCCTCCGTCACCTGTCGCCTGTAGCTTGCTTTCTATTTTAATAACATTGCTAAAAAGGCAGATTTTTAGTTTACTTTTTAGTTTTGCTCTTTAGCTATTTATTTATTTTTTTATTCTGCTAATGATATTCACCCATATTGAGGAATCTTTTAGCCTAGGTAATTCTGATACTGGTACACTGGTGAAAATCAGGTATTTTCATTATCTAGTGTCAATGATTTTAGAATTATACCACAATTTGCCTGAATTCTTCCATAATAAAATTCAGAAATTTAAACTTTTATTTTTACATTTCTTTGATATTGCATAATTCGAGAATAAGAGAAATTAAATATGGATGTATTGTGGCAAAAGCTGGAACTATATGTCTTGTTAAACAAACAGCAAATTTAAAAATGAAAATGGAGTTAGGAACTGATAAGAAAAGCATATTTCATTTTCAGACATATTTATTTAATCTTTTGACGTAATTCCGATCAATTTCTGTGCGTTAGGGTGTAGAGACATTAGATATTTTTCTGGAAGCAGGAAAGATGAAAAATTAGCAACTCCTTTCGCCGGGAATCGAACCGCGGACTTATCAATTACGCATTGAACGTGCAGACCACTACACCACGAAGGCATGCCAAGAAAGCGGGAGAAATACTTTATAAGGGCTGCTGAAACAAACTTCAAGCATATAGAGCGCTTTCCAGCTCTTGGACTGGAAACTTGCTTCGAAGAAATTGAATCAATTTCTTTTGAATTTTTTACAGTAGAAACTGCACTAAATGCTCGAATTCAGATTCGTGGGAGATAGTAGAAATGAATCACTCATAGCAGCATAGTATTTCCTGAACAAATTTAGTGTACAAAGTTCATTTCTGTAATTGTAAATCAACTTCACTACTTTATTTCCAGCAGTAAAATTTAAGGTTGGAAACCAGTATATGCGAGTACAATACCGAGGAAATTTGAGAATAAATTAAGTCATTAATTTATCTCTCAATTCAGCTGGAGATTTCGTAACGCAAAAGTGTTCTTAACCCTTTTCTTTGAATTAATGAAAAATCACAAGACAAAAATGTATAATTTAATATTAGGCAAAGTGCAATTTATGTTAGGCGTAAGTAGTGCTTTATTATTTTAAATAAAATGCTTTAAAATTATGCTTCTGAATGGGTTTCAAAGTCTAAAGTTAATAATAATAATTTCTTTTTTGAAACGAATTTTAAATTTCTAATAGCTAATGAAGTAATCGCAATTCAGAAGATATTATTGTAGTAATGAGTAGAGCAGGGGCAAGAATGGTGTATCTGAGGCACTTTTAACCTCTGGTGAACAGAAAAGAAGTCGTCGAATTAACTATGAAATCTATATAACTATGCATCGTCGAATTAACTATGAAAACTTAAATCTAAAATCTTCCAAATTTCGAATTTTGTTATGGAAGAATTAATTCAAATTATCGACTAATGCTAAAATAGCCGATACTATATATTGCATAAACAGCGATTAATGTCAATGTCAGTAAATACCAAGTAAAAATATTCTCCAGTACAGGTACCACTGGCAAATAAGAAGAAAGTTTTAAAAAAATAATTGCACTAAAAATAAAATAATAATTTCCATTTATTGGCAAATTTATTGAGATAGAAAGCAATTAACAAGAAAAATCTGTAATGCTCGGTAATAACTAAAGTTCCCAGAATATAATTATAACCAAAGATTTATTTTAAAAACAATATCTAAATGAATAAGACTACGGAACACTGTAATTTGAACTAGGTTCAAATGTCGAAAAATGAATTGGCTGAATGGGCATTTTCGTTTCATTTGACGTTAATAAGTGGCAGTTTCCCTTAAAAAGTGCTCAACAAAATTATCCCTTCCCTTAGGCAGCTAATACTCTAACTTTTAAGAATGAGACTGATAGCTCGAAATATTCAATTAATACATAATGTAGAGACATTAGGTATTTTTTAAAAGCAGGAGAGATGAAAAATGAGCAACGCCTTCGCCGGGACTTGAACCGCGGGCCTTTCAAATAGGCGCCGAGTGTACTGACTACTACATTACGAAGGCATGTTAAGAAGGCGGGAGTAACCTTATAATAAGACTAATTGACAAGTACGCTGAAACTTTGAAAACTAAATTAAGAGATTTTGTCTCATGAGTTTTGAAAGTGCTATTCACGTGATTATCTCCAATGTTGCTCAAGACGTAGCTAAAGATATTTCTGATATTCTTCTTTTTTAAATAGTCGGACAGATTAAGAACAATGAAAAAAATCTAATTATATTTAGCTAGAATTTTGTTTTTCGTTATTTTTTTGTGAGACTATATTCCCCAGTTTTGTTTTTGTAAATCTATTTTCTCTTTTGTAAGCATTAAACGGAAAATGCTGTCAAAAATGTTGTACTGTATGATCAAGTTATGTTTAATATAATCAATTACATTATTCAGAATCTATGTTGAATTGGCAAGATTAATGTTCAGCATAATAATGTAGTATAGAATATATAGTGTATTAATTGAAGCAATGAGTTTTGTAAATGTGGCTTAAGCACAGCGCAATGATCAATGCAATGCATATTGTAAAATATATAGCGTAACGAGTATGTGTAGCAGTGAGTTAACATGCGATGTAAATAGGAGAATGTTTAATCCCGCATGCAGAAAAATCTGATACTTTGCCCTTGTATGGCCATGTAATGTCTTGATTTCGGAGCGTAGCTTTAGATAGTTGCGGGATCCAGACGATACCCGATTAGTCTATGTAAGCCGCCTGGATTCCGGACCTGCTCTCACCTGTCATCTTTTTCCTGGTCGGTATAGAAGTTAGAGTCCCTGGCTGCTGCATCGTTGGGCCCGGAAAGTGTATAGTGTCCGTGCGGCAAGGGAGCGCTCAAAATACTCGGTGAACCGAATGGTTGGTGATAGAAGAAGAAGGACTTGGAGATCATCGAACCGCCCCGCTTCGGGGTGTTGTCAATCAAAATTGAGGGGGGGGGTAATAGCTAGTACAATTGTATTACCAATAGTGAATAACTGTGTCTCATCCCGTTTTATACCTGCATAACTCTGCCAAAATGTGAAACTCATTAAGATTTAAGTTTCACATAATCTCTAAGTTATATAATGCCGCTTATTCATGAAACTTTAATTGCTATGCCAGTATTTTAAAGTATATTGGTGTAATAAAGTTAAACATAATCTATATAATTATGAATATATCTAGAAACAAAACTTAGAATGAAATAAAAATTACTGTGCTTTCATAGTAAGGTAATGCGAGTATAACGACAGAAAACCCTAAATAATAAAGAAGTTTGTGTAGAAATTATTTATTTAAAAAGAGTATGCCAAAAAATAATTCTGCTTTTAGAAGAAAAAGATAAAATCCTGGCATTATTATGCTGTATAGTAATTTCTTAACTATCATCAAATCAAATCAAATAGCTAGGGCAATTTTCTGACACTCCAAGCCTCTGAAATTCTACTTCAGTAATTTTAATACCTTACTGCTTCTTTAATTTAGCCGACGACGCTTTGCATCAATCATACTATCGAAATTATAATTTGTAGATATTCCTGTGTTATTTATCGCAGTAGAGTGAGATACTCGTTTTAATCATGGCCTTTAAGATGAATAACGAATCTCGTCGAGCTTCACACTATTCTTGCTCAGGATTTCACCGAAATGATATACAGTAATTCTGAAACTACTCGCTTTTGAAACTGAAGGTGATTTTGAGGCACAGAAAAAAGCATTTTGGAATCATTTCTATCATTTTGATATTTGTAATACTTTTTCCACCTTTTCCATAATGCTATAATATGAAGTTAGTTGCAAAAGAACTTCATTTCCGTTGTGTCAAAGAGCGGCCAGAGTGTATAAAGGCATGTACAATGAATAACGGCTAAAACATCATTCCGAGGGTAGCCATTCTTTCACCTGTTATGCAGCAATATCGTTACGCAAGGGAAACCCGCAATTTTCGAAGCGACACTCTTGCAATTAGCGCATCAGCTGCAAAGTCGGATATTAGCAATTAAGAAAAATGAAAAAAGGATTTTACTCCTGTTATCCTCATTTTCAGGTGATCATGGGGTCAATGGGCTACCGCTCTTCTCAATGGCATGAGCATAATGCCTTGCCCTATAACAAGCAGAAATCAGTGAACCCGGAGATTGCGTGACCAGCAGCAAATAACGAACATTGACCTACATACAAATCCTATTTTAGACAAATATTATCTCAAAACTGATTACTCCATTAACACATAAATGCATAATTTATTTTTATTAAAGTCTAGAGATTTATAAAATTTAAAGATCATTTTAAGTTAATGTCATAATGTTTCTATTAAAAGTTAGCATT